TAGACTTATAGTTCCAACTGGTCCAAAAAGATCCATATGCAAAATCTCTAATTGTTTACTAGTTCTAAATCCTTATTGGACTGAAAAGAGGACTTCACTTATTTTCCTAATTGACATACATCACAAAGGTGGTCCTTAGTAAAGTCTAGTTTTGGTACACCTCTCATTAAGTTCTTTTGGGTAATCCTTCTAAGGTTTTTCATGCTAGAATGATAAAGTCTCCTATGCCAAAGCCATGACTCATCAGATATAGTTTTCAAACAAAAAACAGTAGGACTTTGAATGTTATTCAAGTCTAGCATATAAATATTATTAACCCTTTTACCATTCAAAACATCTTTACCATTTTGGCTTAATATACAGCTAGTAGGAAAAAAATTTCACACATTATTTTTTATCACATAGCTGGCTTATACTTAATAGGTTATGCTTTAAGCCTTCTACCAAAAACACATTTTCAATGTAAATTTCCTTAAGATTTCCAATCATATATGTCCCAACCATCTTCCTTGTGATGTTATCTCCAAGTGTAACCTTGCCTCCACTCCTAGCTTCCAGCAATATGAATTGTGAAGTATCTCCAGTCATATACTTTGAACATCCGCTGTCCAGGTACCATATGCTCTCGCAAGGTCTTACGTGAGAGAGACCCCTGCAAAATTATCAAACGTTAGAACTGGGAACCCAAACAAGTTTGGATTCTGATTTTGACAATTTATAAAGAGATGCATGCATGATATGTCTAGGTTTATGAATCTTAGGTTTCCACACCAAAAAAGTTTTCTTCTTCAAAGTACAGGTGTGAGCTATGTGTCTAACCAATCCATAATTGTTACATTTGACTTTTGGATAAGGATTCCTAATTCTTCTACCATTCATCTGTCTTTGTAGGGATTAAAAAAATTTAGGATACAAAATAGGATTAGTAAAATCTCCAAGTTTTAGAGGTATCCTATTATCCTCGAGAGCTTTTATCTTCAAAATATAAAATAAATTCATATCTTTCAAAATTCAATTTGTATAATTAGATCTATAAAGTTTGTTGTCCGATTCATCCTTAAAATTCTTAAATTCTATTTCTAGTTTTGTATAAGATGATTTTAAATTTTTATGATTTTTATTCAAGTCATCAAACTCATCAAGTAATTTCATGTGGTTGTTATCAATCAAAGTATGATCTTTCCTAAAGATTTCATGATTATTTTGTAGTTCTTTAAATTCTATACTTAGACTAGCATGCATTTTTTTCATTTTCCAATATGCATTATCCATGTGTTCAGAAACTTCAAAAAGTTCATCATAACTTAAGTCACATACCTCTTCTTGATCTGACTGATCAAGACTATCGACCATTAAGCAAAGATTAGTGACTTCCTCTTCTTTTTCTATCTCTAACGAGTCCGAAGCTGAATCTGCCCAAAAAACTCGTTGTGCCCTTCTTCACAAAAGGTTTCTCCTCTACCTTCTTCTTACTAGGAGTGGCTTTGAGTTTTTGGCAATCTATCTTTATGTTTTCAGGTTTCTTGCACTCATAGCAAATAACTTCATTTGAAACCTTGGCATTTCTATTAAATTTACCTATATTCCATTGCTGACATCTCTTCTTCTTCCTATTTAGAAAACTTCTGAATTGTCTAGTCATCAATGCGATGTCGTCTTCATCCTCAGGTTGTGAGTGTTCACTCTCAGACTCTTTCACTTTCAGTACTATGTTCTTCTCCTTTCGTGTTTCACCTACATCAATATTTCTTTGACTAAATCCTTGCTAGTAAGTAATAAGCGAACCAAGAAGATTATCAATAGAGTAAATGTTTAAATCTTTATACTCTATAATTGCAGTAATTTTAGCATCATAAGCAGTAGATAAATAACGAAGAATCTTATTAACCATTTCAGCATTCGTTAGTTCCCTACCCAATGAATGTAAAGAGGTGACTATTTGTGTGAATCTTGTGTACATATCAGAACTGGATTCATTAGGTTTCATGCAAAATAGTTCATAATCATACAACAATATGTTAAGTCTATATTGCTTAACCTCATTAGTCCCCTCATAAGTTATATAAAGTCTATCCCATATGTCCTTTCTACTCTTGCAAGTAGAAACCTGTATGTAGTCTTCTAATTTTAAAGCAAAAAAGAAACTATTCAAGCATTTGAATTTTAGTTATACTAATTCACGTTCTTCTACTGTCCAATCCATAGGGGGGGGGGTGAATTGGTAATTAAAATTTAATCCCTCTTTTAAAATTTAAAATCAAGAAAATTATTTTTAGTGAATTTTATAAAAAATAATTTTCAACCACAATTTTGAAACAATAAAATAGAAAAATAAAAAGCAGCGGAAACATAAAAGATACGAGGTTTATAGTGGTTCAGTCTAACTTGACCTACATCCACTCCCAGAGGCACCCTCCGAGTTTTGCACTAATACCACTAGTGAATCTCCTTTTGCACCCATAACAAGGCGGAGAAGCCTTTATAAAACTCTCTTCAACCACTACCCGTTGCGGTAGAGAACTGTTGTCCTTTTACACTCTTCCTAGTATTGGCAGTGAATCGTCCATAATTTCACACTCTCCTAGTGTAGGCAGAGAACCCTTCATCCTTTCACACTCTCCTAGTGTGGGAAGAGAACCCTTCATCCTTTCATACTCTCCTAGTATGGGTAGAGAACCCTTCATCCTTTCACACTCTCCTAGTGTGGGCAGAGAACTCTTCATCCTTTCACACTCTCCTAGTGTCGACAGAGAACTAGTTCTCCTTGATAGATTTTCTTCACAAGAAATTTAGAAGGAAGAGAGAAAAGAGTGAAGTAAATATAAATCAAAAGTAAAGATTCTTACCTTTGAACACCAAGTGAAGCTTTCATGCTCCAGTAGTAAGAATCTTCCTTCGAACACTCTCTCACACTCTCTCCTTGACTTTTCTTTTAATAGGCACGAAGATCAGTAGGAAAAAAGATCAAGTGACAATCTAAATTGGACTAATTATATGAAAGATAAGAAAAATGTCCAAAAACTGTAAATTTTCAAGTCAACACAAAGTTGATCGTCCCGTACAATCGTGCATCGTCCTGGACGATTTTACTTAAATGTGTGGAAATGAACCAAATGGATATTGGTATGAACTGAAATCGTACCCAAGCATCATCCCGTATGATCTAGGTTTGTCCGATATGAACAGTTATACCATAGGTCGGTTCCCAAAAACTGCAGGACGTCGCCAAAATTTGAAGAGTCAGTTCACTTCGTCCTGGGACGAATATGAGTTCATCAGAATGAAATTTTTACATAGAATATTTTGTCCTGGTACAAATTTGTGTTTGTCTGGATGAAAATTTTCCAGAGAGCATTTCGTCCTAGCACGAATATGAATTTCGTCTGAACAAAAATTTTCCATAAGACATTTCCTCCTGGGATGAATTTGAGTTCGTTTGGACAAATTTTTTCTAGAGAGCATTTTATCCTGGCATGAATATGAATTTCATCTGAACAAAATATTTCCATAGAACATTTTGTCATGGGATGATTAAATATTCGTCCTAGACGATCAGGACTTAGAAAAATTTTCTTCAACTCCTATTCGTTCCATTGCTCTTTAGAGGAGATAACTAACTTGATCGTCCCATATGAACTATGTTCGTTCCGTACGATTAGTATAAATTTTTAAAGATTTCCTTAAGTGTGTGTGTGTGTGTGTGTGTGTGTTTATTCACTCAATTACAATCACACTCTCTAAAACTTAATTCAAAGAAAAGTGCAAGCTTCAATTCACAAAATCTCTCATGATAAATTTGATTTGAAGTCTTCAGTAGTCTGGAAATTGATTTTCCTGAAATGTTAGTTCACACAAAGCAAAAAAAATCCTCCAAAAAGTGTTAGGAGATATCAATACATAAAACAATAATATTTGGAATCATCAAAACTATACAAGTTGCAAGAATGTAAAACATGCAAATAGCAACTCTTAATAGCTTTTCCCTGCTCAAAGGTACTTAAGAGTAACCCCACCTCGCCATAGGTGTCGCACCGGGTTCCCATCCCACCACGTGCAATAAAGGCGTGTATATGCAGTTTTTCATTTCCCTTGTAGTTTTTTGTTGCTAGCACCGCGACGCACTTCCTCACACCATGCTAACAAAAGTGTGTATAGTGATTGTTTTGCCGTGTTGCAAGTGTCGAATGTAGGCTTTCGTAGTTTGCAAAATGCACAAATTACAATTTTTTTTCTTCCACTTTTTTTTTTGGAGAAATCTTTTTTTTTTAATTATTTTTGTTTTTTTTTTGCATTCTTTTTTTTCTTTTTTTTTTTGGTTTTTTTTTTTTCTTTTTTTTTTTGGCTTCTTTTTTTCACTTTTTTGTTGAGCTTTTCTCTCACTTTTTTTTCAAAAACTTTTCCTCCCCCCCCCCACACACATATATATATAGTACAAATAAGTATATACATCTACATGATTTTATAAATACTTACATGTAAACCTAGTGATAACACTAATAATTATTATTATTATAACTATCACAATAATCATGATTAATAACTAAAAATAAAAGAAATATATACATAGAGGTTGGGTTAGCTTGGTTTCAAATGGCTTGCTGAGTGAGATCAAAAGGAGGTCGAAGGTCTACCATTATGAGAGGTATTTGGCTAGGTGGAGTTGGATTTAACCTCAGTAGATGAAGGCTAATGAGATTGATCAAGTATGTGAGGAGATCGAGCCTTAGATGGGGCAAATTATTGCATCCGATCACCAGACATGGAGAGAGGTTCGGATATTAATAAATTATTATTTTAAATTAAGCGCATCAAAAGCGCAGGTAAAGTGCAGGTATATCGCAGGTATAGCGCAGGTAAAGTGCAGTCAAAAGTGCAGTCAAAGCGCACCTAAAGCGCAAGTCAAAGCGCCGTCAAAAGCGCAGGTGACATGGCAAATTTTTATTGGATGTCCGAACTTATTCTCCTCGTTCGGTGACCAGATGCAATAATTTTCCCTTGGATGGTGAGCAGATTGCGGGATAGAGGGCTTGGGTTGGAAGGCTTGAAACAGGATGCTCGGCTAGGGCAAGTTGGTGGAGATTAGGTTGAGGCCAGTAGTGAGGTCTTGGCTTAATACTGGAGGAAGAAGGAGGTTGGTTGGGTTGCTTGCTGCTTCGGGCGTGGCTATAAGTGGAGGTCGAGGCAACATCGGTTTGTAGAGTTTAGGAACAGCTATGAGAAGTGGAAGAAGAGGAATGGGTCTCGTGGATTTTGGCATGGGTAGATCGGACGGGACAGGGAAGTTCATTTGGTTGGGAAGGAATGTAGTTTGGATGTTGGCTGGCTTCGGTAGAGTTAGGAGCGACTGTCTTTGGGAGCATGGGAGAAGCGAAGAGGCAAACAAATGAAGCTTTGGTTTGGCTCTTGTTTTAAAGTTGCGAATGAGAGTGCAGTTAAGGCAAGATTTCAGGAAATGACACGATTGACGTCGAAGGAGCAATAACTGAGCAGAATTTCAGGTGGGATTCATGGAGATTTTCGACGGGATAGGAGGTTTGATTTTTTTTCTTCTTCTTTTATGCTTTACACAGAGGTCAATAGCTGACTTGGATGGGTAAAAAATGGTCTTAAACCAAAATTAGGTCAAATTCAACTAAAAGCCTTTATCAAGTTTTAGAGTGGATTTTTATGTGAAAGTGATGGACAATTGTTAAGAGTTTTATAATAAAAGGTTGATAGGATTTAAGGATCTTAAGTACTTTCCACTCATTAAACCAGTATAGCTTGAAGGAATCTCTAAATCCCTTCAAGTTTGAGGCCGACCACCAAGCCCCTACTCCTTTGGAATAAACTACAACTTTATAAATAGATCAAAAGCTCTTCATTCTAAAATAAAAAAAGCAAGTTTTTGATTTAGCTTTACAAGTAACTTATTTTAGATGCATATATGATTTTGTTCTACTAGTAAATAAGTCATGGTTTTACAAGTAAACACATTTTTAGTTTAATTAAAACTAGTTAAAGAAAATTTTATAAGGTAATAAAATATTTAATTATATATAATAAAATATCAAAATAAATATAGAAATGGATAACCTGCCTAAGAAAATTGAAAGTTGATGTCCTCCTATCTAGTAGTTGGTGTGTGCTAAAATGTGAGTTGTCAATTTATTATTCTTTTGGTATTTCCTCTTCATTTTTTAAATTATACAATTTAATTTAAGAGTGATTTCAATTAAAGTTCTTATTGATTTATATATTTTTGTTTGGGTTTAAAGATTTAGTGTTTCATTTTTATTTTGAGATGTTAAAGAATGCCATAAATATACAGCTTTTATCCTAAAATAAACCATTTCATGTAGTACATCCTAAACATACCAAGGTTACTCCGAACTAAAGATAAGATGGGAAACTCTACATTATATTAAAGGCAATTAATTTTTTTTATGGATTTTTATTATTTATGACTTATAGACTTAATGAGAGAAAATTCATTTTAAGCATGATAATATTTAAATTATTTTGATTAATATTATTTATATTTTTTTGAGTGCGTATAAATATATTTATCATTTTTCTAGTTTTTCTTTCATTATTTAAAGGTTATAATTCTTGATTATATTAAATTGGGATTTATGCAAATATACATGCTATGTGAAGTAATAAAGTAGTGAGCAGAATATCATTCTCACAAGGATAGGTATTACTCTAAGATCAATCTTGTATTGTTTATATGAACTAATTAATTTATCTTATCTGCAAAGTTATCAAGGGGTGCAAATAGAAACATTCAACTAAAGTTTCAAAAAGGAAAATTTTGTGTCAAAGGTGGCTTTGAATTTATAATGGTTAGAGATTCATGAATGAAAAATTCAAAACTCTCCTAATTTTGTTATGAATTAGAGTGGATATACTCCTAGTTTTTGTTAAGAATATTGGAGTGTATAGCTAAGTTTTCACTAAATTACTATGATTAGGTCTCTTAAGACTCTAGCCATTATATGTCTATGCATGACAAAGTTTAGTTTTAAATCCCCTAATTGTTCCACTACTCCATTGAGGTGGTAAATCACAGTAATTTTTAAGTTCATGAAAGGCCCATGCATGAACTAAATTAAGTATGAGGGAATTAAAATAAACACTCAAATGATTCGTTGAATTAAGATCTAATATTAAGTACACTAATGAGGACACTAATGTGGGTTATTTCCATTAATGTATGCTTTTGCGTACTTAAAAATAAATCCCTACTAAAAATTTAAGTGCACGTGTCGATCAAATAATAAAAATGTTTATGTGAGAGTGTTGATCTCACAAGGAACTATTTTGCTTCACACAATTTTTCTAGTACTATCTACTACAAGAAATAAAAATTATCCTACACAATAAAATCACGTTTGTATGTTGTCTAGAATGAGAATTACAAAAGAAAAGTGAAGATACCAATATATAAAGTATTTTGGACTAATGACATTGAAATATGCTATGCTTTCCCAAGTATACTCCCTTAAATTAGTTGTGAATTAATGTATGTGCATTCTTAGATCTTTATTGAGCTTATAAGAATGTAAAGAAACGTTATGACCTTCCTATAATTATTTTATCTCCATAGACCCTTGAATACTAAATATCTTATGTCTAGGCATGCAAGTATTCCATTCAAATTCTCCTAATTATTCCAGTATTCCTCCGACGAGGTAATATATCATACTAAATTTTTATTCTACAAATGACAAATGCATTGATTGAATTAAGAGCCAGAGATATTAAAAATGTCCATCCATAATTTAAAGAAAAAGATTATACATTAATAATTACTTAGATTTTCATAGCATTAGTTCAAAACTATGAGTTTAGTTGGCCATATAATAAAATAAAATAACACAATTTCCATTATTTTCTTAAGAAAGTTAGAAAAATTGAAAAAAGTAAAAAGATATCACCTAAAATGAATGATACCAAATTGAGCTGCAAGTTTAACCCTCCCATAGTGTATCTCCCCTTACAGCATTGCTCTTCACATTCCTTTCCTCCAAAAATACTTTTTTTCTCAGTATAATATTAGCCAGTCACTCTAAAGTATGTTATCTTTCTCCCATCTGGCCTATCCTCTTAGAAATCTATTCAAAACAACAACACACTTACACATAATAATAGAAAAAATATTTATACTTATTATAGATTGGCTCAAGTGATATGATGCTCAAACAAGGGTGGCATCCTGGTGCTATAAAATGAGCTAGCACCTCAGTGCTACTAATGGTTCTCCGTTACAGCACTAGGCTAACCCAGCATGAATTTTTGCTGATCTGACATGACTGTTGATTGATCCGGCATAATGTTAACAACATTATGACATTAATTCTTCTATTTCTATAACATTGTTTCAATACTTGTGAATTTTCTACATTTCATGAGAAATTTCAACATGCACTGCATTAACTAAAGACAAATATATTCACTAGAATTTATCATAATAAAACATTACAAAATTTTCATTTAACACACAAATGGTCTAATGCTTTATAAGCCCAGAATAATATCTTAGCTAGCCATGAAATTAGAATTAAGTAAAACACACTTCATTTAATTACAAAATAAAAGTATAATAGATAATTCTAGGATAGTTGTCACAAGGAAGTTCTTTACAACTTGATACAAACTCTTCTTGCCACTATAATAGACTTCTTGTCTTTGTACTTACTCCTTCACTCTCTCTATACTATTTCTTAGACTATTTATGAATAAAAATATGGCCAACCCCTTTCATAAATTTGACAAAAACTATTTAAATTTAGTACTAATAACTAACACAAGCATTATGGTTCTTCTCGTGCTAGTGTTGTGATGCTTATGAAATGAACTAATTACATACTGCTCATGTACCATTATGGTGCTCTAACTGAATTGATGTATCGCTTCCTTGGGGTAACCAACTTAATTGTTGTACTATGGCATTCAGGCAATTTGGGCGGTGTATTGGCATTATGGCTTGGCATTTCCTTTATTGAGGTGCTTTGCTCTCTATCTTTTTGGTCAAATTTAAGGGTCAGCCACCATGGCGCTCCATGGTGTGGCTACATGGCGCTTGTGCAATTTTCTAAATTTTGAGACATTTTTATGTAATTCCCCAGCATAAAAGCTTCAAGTGATATCCTTTCACAACAAAGATATCAAAATAATCACACAAAATTACACTAATAATTATTAATAAATTTTCTAATTTCTAAGTTTTTAATTATTCTTTTATTATTTTTATAATTTAGTAATTTTAATTTTTAGTTTACATGATATCAAAAAATTATGAAATAATTACTTCAAGTTTGGGACAACCACAATACCATCTCATTAAATTTTGAATTATTATTTTTTTAATGTCTATTTTAATATAGAGCTGTGGCTTGTGATTCTTCCCTTAAGTGATCCTCCCAGTTATTTTTTATATAAAATTAATCTCCATATTAATATTTCACCCCTCTTTAAATTCTCCCTCAATTTATTTTTTCAATTCACCTTCTTCTCATGTTTGAAAGAGTCTCTAAAAGGAACTTCTTCACCTTCTTCTCTTCCTGTTGGATTGTTAGTTGCTCGAGCTCCACATGAAGAAAAATGTTGAACAAATATTGGTTTTTCATGCTTCTTATGAACATTTATTATCCTTCTTTTTATAGTTCTGAAGCACCATCACCCCATGATATACCTAAAAAACCTGATAGACTCATCAGACTCACCTCTTCTTTTGGTGACTACTTCTATATTTTGACCCCTTTTATCGATCAATTTATTGAGTGGAATTTTTTATTCTTTGTTTAGGGTATTGATCAGGTTCAGTAGGTAGTGGAGTTCAGGCAAGCGATGCCTCACGTAGTTTCTAAATCACCTTCAAACAGGCAATTAATGCCTTGGTACAATTTCTTGATCACCTTCATTAACCCCTTGCTTGTCATTCATAGGTATAACGACAACAATCGGAGTAGATCTCCATATTTATATTGTTGGATGAGCCTATTAATTGCAAAAGCTTTGTTATTTCCTTCAATGTTTTACATATTGTTATTTATGTATCATACTAATATATATCTTACAATTTGGGAGCTTGACCTTTTATTTTGATGATTATATATGTTATTAGATATCAAATTTATTTTCTCCTATTTTATACATTGCATATATTTTTTCTATGCACTATTGATATTTTAGGTTCAACATATACAAAACACCATCGAAGAATTAGAGCACAAGGAAGAAATGTGTTATTCAGTCTTTGTTGAAAAGAATAAGTATTTTACTATTCTTGAGTCTATATTTATAAGAGGTGTATATTGACTTAGCAATTATGTACACTCACACAAGGAAGAATGATATTAAATATTTTAAGTTGCTTGAATATTATACTAGACGATCTTGATCGTACTATATGATCCGTGAAATTAGAAATTAATTAAAATATTTAATTAAATAAGATTAATTTACAATGGGCTATAACTAATCGTACTGGACAAACATAACATCATACATGATGATCAAATACATTTAGTATATTCTCCATCATT